AAACAGTACATATTGGAAAAACAATTTATAAACGCTATCACTGTGTCTTGATTTAGGATGTGTGATGAAGTTTTTTGCGGTTTGACAATCAAACGAAGCAAATACTGTTAATTTTAAAATGTCGATAGTGTTTTAAAAAAGTATTTAAACAGCGAAAATTGTAATAAAAATAATTAAGATTAAAGGAAAGATAAACGGAAGAAGTTAAAACGAAAACAATTGCTGGTTGATAAAATAATTTTCATAAAAAAAAGGCATATGTAAATGTGACATTGCAGCCGATAGTATATTTTATTTAGTAGAAATATGAAATAGGTGTTGATAAAAGCACTGTGAAGGCAATAATGTACTTAAAATTAGCCTATAATTATTGCATACAATTAGTACGAATCATGTTTTTTAGGAAATTCAATTTAAATGTTAAACCTGCTCCCAAATGATTAATTTTAATACTTTGCGATTATTTTTGCTACCAGATGCTTGTTGTTTTAATTTTAAGCTACTTAGTTAAATCTCGGCCGGACACCAGCATTTTAGGTGATAGCTATTTATGCCCACTCCACCTTTACCCAAATGACGGTACTAGTTATCATAAAATTTAAATTATTACTTAATATTATATTAATGTAGCGAGTGAGGATGTTATAGAAAATTGGCAAATCAAATTTAACCGGTATGACGATAATAAGGATAGTTTAATCTCTAAGTGGTATTCAGAAATTATTATTCGAAGTCAATAAGTCAAAAGCGACACATCAATGTTCATATCGTTATACAATCAGTTGACATAAATGTTTTCTGGAGATGATCAAATTATATTTTAAAAAAATAATAAATTGTAACCGCTAATGACAATTTTGAATTTTTTTACATTTTTCCATAATTTTGAATTTTTTTACTTATTACCTTTACATTATTTTTTAAGTATTAAATAACAATAAAGAGAGCTTTTTAATAATTTACTGTTACAACTTTTAAGTTGCATAAAAAAAATGTAAGTACTAAATTTCACAATTTGCGTATAACATATATTTTGTCCCAAGACGTATAAATTAGTATTTGTGTATCGTCGGCCGTAGCAGCTGAATTGGAAAAAAAAAAAAAAAAGAAGACTCACATCATAAGTATAATTTAACAACTGTCAACTAAGGCCACCGTTTGACTGTATATGACAAATTTTAATATTTTGCATAATTATCGTTACTTTTGGTAGTTAGCATAAAAAAATAATCACAGTATCAATTGCTAAAAATTGCTCTGTATTTTGGGCAAAATATTCTTTATATTTAAAAAAGAAATAAGCGTAATGGTTTGCATTCAAGTTTAAAAAGTCCACCTTTTTTAGACCCTCAGAAAAAGTACTAAACGTTTTCAGCCGTTATTTGGCAACATTCGTTTACTTTGACTACTTTTTGTTCATCGATGATGAAAACAAAATAATATATCGCTGTAAAAACATACACCTTACAATAAAATACAAGTACCTTGAAATTTGCTACTAAAACCTGTAATTCTTGTAGTTTTGGTGTAATTGGAGACACTTCACTTTGTGTAAAAAAATGTTTTCAAAAAAAAAAAATAAGCGTATTATCATTAATGTATCACCCTGTATACATATATATACACATATAACAGGCTTTTGCGAGATTCCGTTGATCAGTGGACTTATTGGTTCGTCTTGACCTAAAATGAGGCCCCTAATTATTTTAACATGGATATGTCATTGGGCTACATGTATATGGGGCATTCTGAGTCACTCCACGCGGTCATCGGCCTGAACTCATTTTTTTTTTCACTTCTTTCGGTCTAATATACGACTTTAATTTTTTTGAAACTTGTATCACTAATTTTTGCCCCAAAAATAGAGGTTTTTTCAGTAATTAAAAAAAAAAAAAAATTTCGACCAGTTGTAAATTTCTGAAATTTTTATCATAAAATCAGAGACTTAAATCAAAATCTTTTCGTCTAATAACGGGAGTGAGCCGAGATTTATTTCTATTTTTTTTTTTTTTTTAATAATGAAAATTTTCCCGGATGGGGAACCCATCCATCAAAAAAAATAAAAGTCTTATATTAGAACCAAAAGAAGTTAAAAAATAAATTTCAAAAAAAATTGAGGAGATCAAGCCGATGACCGCGTGGTTTGACTCAGAATGCCCCATATGTATATATATAAGATTATATATATAGATATGGCGTTTTCAATTGTAATTTTGGGTTTATTGAGTTCGGCTAACGTGTGGGAGCAACTGACGGTGGATTTTTATTCAAATAATTGGCGATCAATTGCATTTTTTAAATTTAATCAGATTAAATCGTTCAAACAAGGGGTATTATCCACATGTTTTTAATAAACTCCACGGTACAAAGAATGGAATAACAAAAAATACATTTTTACTAGATTACCCAATCATTAAAAAATTGAATAATTTTTGGAAACTCTTATTGAAATTCATTATGTGTGATTAAAAATTACAGTCTGGCCAATAATATGATATCGCTAGTTTTATGTATCAGTTGAATTACTCTGAAAGAAGTTTCACTTCATCCGTGCGTACTGGTTTTTTTATTAGATTATTGTTTACTGAATTCTTGCCTAAGCGTTTCTTCGAAAACATAATTTATTCTTTTACTTTAGAAAAACACTTGCGTGATTCTCGATGTGCGTTTAAATTTTGCACTGTTTGTATAAATGAAATGCAGTGCTCGTTTGTGTTAAAAATATTATACAAAGTCAAAAGACTGTGTCTATTTTTTAGATACCCATGTTCAACTTGCGTTTTAATAACGGTGTACGACAAATATTCATGGTCTTTAGAATTTCAAGGCCAACATGACTTGTTGACGATTTTTTTTGAAGTTATGATAAAACCACCTACGTGAATCATTTTTTATTTTTTACCATACAATGATATTTCAATGTCATTGTGATGTTTCCGCCCTTGGAGAACAGGATTTAGGGAGGGATGATTTTGGAGTCTCTTATAGCAGCCTGTATATTAATTTAGTTATGCTTGTTAAGCTTATTTTTTGGTAGCAGAGAATTTGACTGAAATTTGAAGTTTATAACGTCAATCAAAAGATCCGTAGTCTTTTGAAATATTTAAAAAAAAAAAGTGAGATTTCTACAATAACCGTAAAGCATTTGAAAGATTTTAAATGAATTAGTTAGATAAATTGGGTTATTATAATTTTTATATAAATATCCACTGTTGAATTAATAGGTTTTTGGTTGAACGTCGAATTGTCGTTAGCTTAGTTTTTAATAATTGTTTAAAACTAATTTTTGTTCTCGTTTTAATTTACTAATATAAAATTATTTAACTGAAATATAAAAAAAAGATGTACAACGCATAATAAATCAGAGACAGAACGATAGGTTAAAAAAATTACTTAATGTTCTTTCGGAATCTGGTTTAACAGTTAAAAGAAATAAATGTTGTTTTCGCAAAAAATCAATTGAATATCTAGGTCATAAAATTGATGAGCAAGCCTTACACACTTTGTCAAAAACACACTGACGCTATTTCTGCAGCTCAAATTCCAGAAAATAAAACAATGCTGAATTCGTTGATAGGATTGGTAACATATTATAATAACTTTATACCTAACGCAGCAGATATAATAAAACTACTTTATTTGACTTACTCAATTTCCCTATTTCTTGAATTTAGCATGTTTGCGAAACTAGATACTAATTTTGCAACAATGTGTTGATTTTTTTTTTTTAATTCTCACGTCCTTTTAAACTGTTGGTTCGATTTCTATATTAACATAGGTTTTATATAATAATATAAATAAAACATAAAACAATATTTTGGATTTTGTTTATTGAATTGAATGACAATGTCTAATAAAGCATTACACGCAGTTTTAGTATACAAATAATTATTTCGTTGAATATTATTATGTTGAACAATAAAACTAATCTATGACAATATCGTTAATTTTTTTTTTATACATTTTCATTGTTTTAAATATATTTTTTGCGTACATCATTTTATAGCGCCTAATTGGTGGCTGCATCAAAAGCTATCTGAAGAGGGATCCTAAAATAAATCTAAGTATACGCATTTCTTAAAACCATCGAAAAACATTCTCCATACGCGGCCTAAAAATCACCAATATAACATAAATAAAATATAACAAAAAAATACTACAAAAAGAATGTTTGGGTTTTTTACAGCATAGCCAAAACAGCGAATTAAAATGTATTTGGACAAATAATATAATAATTTATGTTCATTTTATAATATTTTGTTGTCAATAACTTGAGTGTCTGAATAACGCAATGTGAAATTCAGTTTTGTTGAATTGGTTGTTGGAAATATTAAGTTACTTTTTAAATAAGTTTAATTATATATATATATTTATATAAATGTACAGGTTTTTCTCTGAAAAAATGAATATTTTGAGAATTTTTTTTTTCCTAAATTTTTTAGGGACATGTTTTACTAAATTGTTCGATGTTTTGAAATTTTTTAACATCAATCCTTATAAGCCAAAAAGGAGGATCTTACACATATTTGTAGACAACAAATTTAAAAAATATGTTAGCGTTTGAATTTTAATTTATTTGTTCATTTGTTATGACTTTATAAAGATTTGATTTTTGATAGTATTTCTTGATATTTTCGATCGTTACTACAAAGACGAGTAGTTTTATTAAATAATATAAAAATAATTTGACGGGTTAACCGTACTCTGTACATAAACAGATGTACCTAATAAATAACCTGTAATCCGTAAATAAGAACCGTATGTCTATTATTATTTCAAAATCTTCTACAGGAACTTCCTAGTTGTTAAAATGTTATCGCCAATTGGTCAATGCGAACATAAATATGAACTTTAT